TATACAGGGTTTTCATTAATTTTCTGTACAACCGGCTAATTGTAAATGATAGGCGTCCGAGCACCGAAGGTGCGAGATTTCTAGGGAGGTCCGGGGGCATGCCCCCGGAAAATTTTGAAATCTAAAGTCTCTGAAATGCCATTTCCTGCGTTCTGGCGAAAATTCTCGTAGAATTGCAATGGTCAGAAAACAAACTTTTTTGTCTAAAAAGTTACAGTTTCTTGTTTAGAAATTAGCAGGTTTCTACATGAAGAACAAAAGTAGAGATTTTCTGAGGGTGCGAAAGGCTATTTTCGGTAGAAACGCTGCTTGCAAATACAATGGATAAAGATGCAACATTGTAGATTTCATCTTATGATAGAAAAAAAAAACAATTTGATGAAAAGTGTTTAATGTAAATTTAACTTTTGACAATGTTTATAATTCTTTTCTGAACTAAAATTTGAATTAATCTGAATAACAAGTTAATCTGAATCTGAACTATCGTAATCATTATCAGTACTGTCCTCGACGTCACTGTCGGTGTCGTATTCTTCCAGATCTACTGCTGGTAATTTAAATAAGTTGGCAGCAGCATCCACCTCTTCCTCAGTCCCCATCATTCCAGCGTTGTCTTCAAACTCTTTTTTTCACATAACGATTCATCCTCCATTTCCTGATCATGAACATTGATCAGAAGAACCAACCTGTATGGACACATCTACACAATGTGCCCTCCCTTCTGCATTAGATGGTCGTTTATTTGCAATGGACATCTTTCGCCTTGGTTTTGCGAGCCACTGCTTCAGAGTAGAATCGATTAATGCTGTTGAATCTTTTACTTCTGGACCGTTGATGGAAATATGGAGTAGCGATTTATAACATGGACAGAATTAATATATAACATTAATTTATAACATTAAACAGAATTTATAATTATATGCATTTTATCACTGACCCGTGACAAGAAAACATTGACCCGTGACGATTATTTAATATTAAAAACAATAGGTAATAATGTACACTACCTGTGTTGTCCATTCTTCTCTGCTTGTGAGTGAAAAATGCATCAAAAGCTGATGTCTGAAAGCCTGTTGAATTTCCTCTGCCACGCTTTTTACTCGCCATGTTTTCAATTTTCACCCGCCATGTTTGTTGGGCCTTAATGCAAATATTTTACGAAGTATTGAATAAGATAGATCGGCGACCGCTGATCGTTCAAATTCGAGTTGCGAGAAAATGGCAAGAGAAATTTCAAAACAATGTGAAATATTTATACGGCATAAACTCGTGAGTTATGAACCTATTTTATAAGTTTGCTATGGAAAACGAAAACACTAATACCTAACTTGTCATTTTAAATAATTATACACATGCTTGATAGACTGACAATACTTAAATTATTTTTTATTAAAAGTTTTATACGTGGCTCAGAAAAATTTACCAGACACAAAAAAATAGCCGGCGGTCTTAGGCCAAACAGGCGGCGGTAAACCGCCGGTAACCGCCTATTAATGAAAACCCTGTTTAATATCATTGTGTATAACCATAGTTAATAGAAGAGATGGCTCGGAAACTCATTAGAATAACAGTATAACTCATTATCTATGTTAGTGAACGTTTATTCATAAATCTAGTCCTTCACCATCACGTGCGTATTGTATTTTTGCCCAACTAACCAATAGCAATGTTTAGGAAAGTTGCCTGTCCGTGACTCGAACAATAGGATAAATTGGAAATTACTATTGGTGGATTTGGCAAAAATACAATACACACGCGACGGTGAAGGAACATATTTATGAATAAACGTTGGCTAACATCGACAAGGGACCGGTCATTTATGGAAGGGGGGGAAGGGAATTTTTTCTTTCCTAAATTTTTAAAATTGAAAGCCCCCCCTTAAAAGAACAGGAATTTATTGATGACCCCCCTACATATTAGAATATTTTTCTTTGACCCTCCCCCATTTTCATTTTAACTCAACAAATGGGGATACCCAGGCGTTATAATGTTAATTATTAATTAAATAAGAATATGGAGCTGACAAGATATTAACGTCGACCAAAAAATAATATAAAAAAAGAGGGGTATTTTCATATATAACTCTAAAATCAGGTTTCCATTTGGTCTGGGCGATTGTAACCATGTTTAACGGCAGAGAATTAATATTAGTGTTTGGTGGCAGGTGCCGTTTGTGGTCCAAGGCTGTAACTAGATTTGCATGATGGCACAAAGTATTGCCATAGCAGCTGCGTAGCAATGAGAGTAACAATCAGTAATATTAGCAGCAAAAGGAGATAGCCATGACAATTCTGGCTATTTTGCCAAGGCATTCCTCCGGCACCAGTCACACTGACAAGTCAGTGGAAACAAAATATAATGTATAGTGGTCTATACATAAAAATTATATAAAATAAAATGACATACTACCAGATAAAATCTTCTAGAATAAACATGGGTGGGTGGGGTGGGTAGGGGAAAGGTATCTAAGCGCTAAACCTGCTGCAGCTAGGCAAAGCATACAATGGCAGTATGAATACCCAGACCGAAGCACTGATCACAAGGCGCGAAACAACCCCCTTTAATCGATATGACGTCACAGCTCCCATCAGTGGATGTGGCCTGCATAATACCTTTGCCGTTAACCTTGCTTAATAATACATTGTCAATTTATCTCTGCAATCAGTGAAGACTGATTTGCATACAGCACACAGAAGACAAGATAAATCCAGACTATTTCACATCAGTGACCATGATTTAGTCGCAATTACAACCAAATGGATACCATGCTTATTAAGCAAATTCCTTCAAATTTAATTGCAACCCCCCCTCTCATTTTCTTGAAAATATTTAATAGCTCCCCCCTCCAGTCATTTATTTATACATATGGCCCCCCCCACCC